TGTCTGTTTTGTTCATGGCTGTATCTGCAGCTCTTAGACCAGTGCCTGGCACACAGTAGGAACTCAATAAAGGCTTATGAAGTAAATGAACGAGTCTCTCCTTATTGTTTCAGAGATCTATAACTTCATTTTCATGACTCTGTGGCATCTCCCAGGGTAAATAACTGTTACTGATCTAACCAACTCCTTAGGTTGCTTCTGATTTTTTTTTTTTTTAATAAAGAGTACTGCAGTGAATCACCCTGTAGCTATGCTATGCTTTTTGCCTTTAAAAAAAAATTTATATTGAAGTGTAGTTGATTTACAATGTCATATAAGTTTCAGGTGCCTTTTTGTTTTTTATTGTGCAAAGTACACTTAACATAAAATTTATAATTGTAGCCACTTTAAGGTGAGCAATACAGTGATTTTTATTTTATTCACAGTGTTGTGCAACCATCCCCCCTGTCTAGTTCCAAAACATTTTTATTACCCCCAAAGGAAACCCCACACACACTAGCAGTCACTCTCCATCTCCCTCCCCAGCCCCTGACAACCACAAGTCTGCTATTTGTCTCTGTGGATCTGACTGTTCCAGACATATCCTATCAATGAAATCACACACTGTGTGGTCTTTTGTGTGTGGCTTCATTCATCCAGCACAATGTTTTTGAGGTTCATCCACGATGTAGTGTATGTGAGAGCATCACTCCTTTTTAAGAAAATTGATTGATTGATTTTAATTGGAGGCTAATTACTTTACAATATTGAATTGGTTTTGCCACACATTGACATGAATCCGCCACAGGTGTACATGTGTTCCCCATCCTGACCCCCCTTCCACCTCCCTCCCCATCCCATCCCTCAGGGTCATCCCAGTGCACCAGCCCTGAGCACCCTGTCTCATGCATCGAACCTGGACTGGAGATCTATTTCACATATGGTAATATACATGTTTCAATGCTATTCTCTCAAATCATCCCACCCTCACCCTCTCCCACAGAGTCCAAAAGACTGTTCTTTACATCTGTGTCTCTTTTGCTGTCTCACATATAGGGTCATTGTTACCATTTTTCTAAATTCCATATATATGCGTTAGTATACTGAATTGGTCTTTATCTTTCTGGCTTACTTCACTCTGTATAATGGGCTCCAGTTTCCTCCATCTCATTAGAACTGATTCAAATGAATTCTTTTTAATGGCTGAGTAATATTCCACTGTGTATATGTACCACAGCTTCCTTATCCATTCGTCTGCTGATGGGCATCTAGGTTGCTTCCATGTCCTGGCTATTATAAACAGCACTGCGATGAACACTGGGGTACACGTGTCTCTTTCAGATCTGGTTTCCTTGGTGTGTATGCCCAGGAGTGGGATTGCTGGGTTGTATGACAGTTCTATTTCCAGTTTTTTAAGGAATCTCCACATTGTTCTCCATAGTGGCTGTACTAGTTTGCATTCCCACCAACAGTGTTAAGAGGATTCCCTTTTCTCCACACCGTCTCCAGCATTTATTGTTTGTAGACTTTTTGATAGCAGCCATTCTGACCAGTGTGAGATGGTATCTCATTGTGGTTTTAATTTGTATTTATCTGATAAGGAGTCATGTTGAGCATCTTTTCACGTATTTGTTAGCCATCTGTATGTCTTCTTTGGGTAAATGTCTGTTTAGTTCTTTGGCCCATTTTTTTATTGGGTCATTTCGTTTTCTGGAATTGAGCTGCATGAGCTGCTTCTATAGTTTTGAGATTAATTCTTTGTCAGTTGCTTTGTTTTCTATTATTTTCTCCCATTCTGAAGACTATCTTTTCACCTTGCTTATAGTTTCCTTCATTGTGCAAAAGTTTTTAAGTTTCATTAGGTCCCATTTGCTTACTTTTGCTTTTATTTCCATTACTCTGGGGGGTGGGTCATAGAAGCTCCTGCTGTGATTTAGAGCATCACTCCTTTTTAAAAAATTTATTCATTTGGCTTTGCTGGGTCTTAGTTGCAGTAAGTGGCATCTTCAGCTGAGGCAGTCAGGGTCTTCTCTTTGAGGTACGTGAACTCTTAGTTGTGGCATGGGGGATCTAGTTCCTCAACCAGGATTTGAACCAAAGCCCTCTTCATTGGGAGCACTGCGTCTTAGCCGCTGGACCACCAGGGAAGTCCCAGAGCTTCATTCCTTTTTAAAAATGTATTTACTTATTTCTGGCTGTGTGGGTCTCTGTTGCTGCGTGCGGGCTTCCTCTGGTTGTGGTGAGCGGGGCTACTCTTCACTGCGTGCACAGGCTTCTCACTGCTGTGGCTGCCCTTGTTGCAGAGCGTGGCCTCTAGGACGCTCGGGCTTCCGTAGTCGCGGCCCCCCCCCCCCCCCCAGGCTCTAGTGCGCAGGCTCAATAGCTCTGGTGCGTGGGCTTAGCTGCTTCGCGGCAGGTGGGATCTTCCTGGACCGGGGACTAAACCCGTGTTTCCTGAATTGGCAGGTGGATTCTTTACCTCTGAACCACCAGGGAAGCCCCAGCTCCATCCCTTTTTCTGGCCAAATAACATTCACTGTATGGATGGACCACATTTAGTTTATCCACCCATCAGTTCCTGGTCCTGTCGTTTTGTAACAGGCAACTATTCCAGAGTCCCAGGAGTGGGATGCTGGCTCTGGGGCCCGGGCATTCATAATTCCCATGACAGGATGCCTCCCACTGCTCTGTGCTACTGATGCTCCCCCAGCAGCGTGTGGGCTTGCTCGTTTCCCCACATCCTGGCCAGCACAGGGTGTCATCACACTTTTGAATTTTTGCACATCTGATAAATATGCAAAACTCCTCTGAGTCTGAAGATAGAAAGGGGAAGAGTCTGAGGAGAAGGGAAATCATGGGGGAGTAGACTCCAGCCTCCCGGAGTCCAAGAGAAGACTCTTGACATTTATTCCATTTTACAGATGTGGAAACTAAGATAAAGAACAGTTAAGGTCAAGCCATGAGCCAGGGGCTGGAAAGGATTTGAACCTGGCCTGCTTAAAGCCAGGACCCCAGTGAGGCAGAGACCCTCTACCAGCCCACCTGTGCCCATTCCCTCCACAAGCCCTCTTTTGTTTTGTTTTTATTCCATACCACAGAAGACGAGATGGTTGGATGGCATCATCAAGTCAATGGACAGGAGTTTGAGCAAACTCCGGGAGATGGTGAAGGACAGGTGTGTCCACGGGGTCACAAAGAGTCGGACATGATTTAGTGACTGAACAACAATGTGGCATGACTAGAGATTGAACCTGTGCCCCTGCATTGTCCCCGAGTTTTAACCACTGGACCGCCAGGGCAGTCCCCTCAGCCTCTCGTGTCACTATTCCTGGGGTCTGACTCAGGCCACCCTCTCCTGAGACTCCAGGCTCCTGGAAGGGTTCCCCACCTCCAGAGCCCAGGCTCACTGCAGAAGACTCTTTTCACACAGTGCGCCTCTGCTGCTCACACACCTGCCTTGGCCCTGGGAATAAAGCCCCACTCCTCAGCCTGGCATTGGAGGCCTTTGCTGCCCGGCCCCCACCCGCCGCCAGTTCCTACACTTACCCTTGGCCCTCCAGCCACTGCACTCCTAACGAGGCTGTCCCTCTTAACCACTCTCTCCCAGGCCGCATGGCCTCTCTGGCGACTGGACCTGTGCTCCCACTGTGCCTTCTCGCTGCCGTCTGTGGCCGTTCATTTCTGCCTGCTGCTGCTACTCGTCCTCCAAGCCCCAGACAAAAGTCCTCTTCCCCAGCGAGCCCTCTTCTCAATGCCCACCCCCACCCCCCACCGCCCCAGCATGTTCATACACAAGGAGAGTTCTGAGTCTGTGGGAGAGGCTAAGAGCTTGCAAAATCAAAGGCAGGTTTTAGGAATCCTTGGCAAACTCCTATTCATGTGCTGAAACCCCACCTGTAATGCCCCCTTCTCCAGGAAATCTTCCAGTACCCTGTCCCTCACCCCAACCTTGACCTGAGTCCGTCAGACTGGGGGTGTCTGCGTCCAGCTTTATCTTTTTCCAAGACTGGATGCTCCTAGAGAAACCGACCGGGGGTGGAGCCTCTTCGGGGGCTCAGCGTGGATAATGTTTGTTGAATGAATAAATGAATGCATGGGTTGGGAGTCAACTGAGCTGAGACTGGGAAGTGAGAGTGAGTTGATGAGGTAGCAGTTAGTTGGGGTGTCATTGGGGGACATATAGTCATTGGGTGTCAGCAAGAAGGAAGCAGGCCGCCCGCCCCTGCCCCTCCCGTGAGAATCCCGATTCTTGAGGCCTTCCACGGGGCGGGGGCGGGTCTCTGGGTCGTCTTTATTCTTCCCCTCTGCACTTCACTCGGCACCAGTTCCTCTTCCCCGTGAGCAGAGCTGGGTGCAGAGTGAGAGGAGCGCCAGGCATCACAGTGGATCAGAATCCGGGGAGGGTCAGACCCTCTGACCCCCACGTCCGGGTGAGCCACCACGCCGCCGGCAACTTCTAGCACGACCGAGGCCAAGGGCGGGCAGTAGGACCAGAAAGGTGGGCAGGAGGCATTGGAACTTGGGTCTGTGCAAACCAGAGCCGGGGCGGGGTGGGGGTGGGGGTTACTCGGCAGCACCCCAACCCAAGACTCTCAGACCCAGACTCCCAGCCCCCTGCAGTTCAAGAAGAAAGGCAGAGGGGCAGGGTCGTTTCCGGGGCAACAGCTCGTTTGCATATAGGCCTGTCTTGGCCAGCTGGCTCTCCCAAAATATTTGGGGAAATTGGGCAACCTAGCCCGAAGGGGCACATCTGAGAGAAAGGGAAGGGGCTGACTGGGCCAAGTCTGCTCTTTGCCTTTCAAGCCCCTGAGGCATCAGGGTTAGGTGCCCATTCCCCAGAAGGGGAGACTGAGGCCAGAGCCAATCAAAGAGGAGCAGCCAGCGAAAGGCTGCCGTTTTAACACTTCAGAAGTGGCCTGAGCTATAAAATCACACATATAAATATACAAGTGGCAAGGGGGAGGGTGACCACAAGCTGAGGCTGGGGCTTGGATTCCGGTGTCTCTGCCTAGGTTGCCTGAATGGGGGACGCCCTGCTGTGGGCGCTGTTGTTGCCGTCGCTGCTGCCCCAGGCAGGCAGCCAGACATGCAGCGTGTTCCCGGGGAACGTGAGCTGGGCCAGGGAATACCTTGACCGATGCCTCAACTTCAGCGGCCACGTCCTGAGCCAGCTACCTCAGGAGCAGTCTCTGCAGGCCAGATTCGTGCAGCTCCTCGATCTGTCTGCAACCGGCCTTCAGCGGCTCCCGTGGTCCTTCTTCAGCGACCTGCCGCAGCTGCAGTTACTGGTTGTGACCAACAACTCCTTGGACTTCGTGGACAGGGCGCTGGCCAAACGCTGTGACCTCACCCTGCGGGCTGACTGCGGCTGTGCCCTGGTAGACTGGCACAAGGACCGGCAGGGCAACTGCTCTGGCCCAGAGCCTCCGGAGTGCCTGGATGTGTCCACCGGTGCCTGGCACAACCTCTCTGTCTTCTTGGAAGTGAGCTGTCCCCCTGGCCTGACCAAGGCAACCGTCGGAGCACTGGCGGCCAGTGGAGGCCTGCTCCTTGTGCTTGCTGTTGCTGGCCCGGTGCTGGCCTGGAGACCCTGTAGACGCCGGATGGGCCAGAACCTGAGCAAAACGTGGGCTGCTCAGGATGGCTCCAGGTCTGGCTCGGGCCGGCAGCCGAGGTACAGTAGCCAAGCCCGCAGGCCTGAGCCCCCAGCCAACACCCCGCCCGGATCTTTCACTTCTGACTACGAGAACATGTTCGTGGGCCCACCGGCTGCCAGACACCAGTGGGATGAACACAGGTGAGTGACCCACACACGTGTGTCTGTGAGTCTCTGGAGCCGGATGGCCAGGGTCCAACTCCTGGCTCTGCCTCTTATGGGCTGTGTGATCTTGGGCAAGTAGTTTCCCCTCTCTGGGCCTCAGTTTCTTCCCAGATAAAATGGGGTTAATAACAGCCCCCCGCCTCCCAGAGCTGGCCTAAGAACTAAATGAGTTCCTGGATAGAAGACATGCATCCCCCTGCATGACCTGCACACCCAAGGTTGCGGAGGGAGGAGGCAGGTGTTCAAGGTGGAGTGGGGGCTCTGGGGTCGCAGTCAGCGGCCTGGGCTTAGATCTTGTGTGACCCCAGGCTGCCTTTGAATCTCTGTTTCTATCTCTGTAAAATGGGACCACATCCCCATCTCCCCCTGACACACGGGGGATGCCAAGAAAGCTGTCTATGTCTCTCTATCCCCACAAAGCCCTGCCTCCCAAATGGGCTAAGCTTAGATAGATGGGTCTGTTTCCAGGTTGGATGAGAGAGGGGATTTCTGGGGGGCAGGCGCAAGGAGGAACAAACCTGGAGGTGGGAGAGAACAGAGACCGCTGTGAATGTGTTTTGAGAAGGCAAGACTTCAGGGCTGAGGTTGGAGGGGGCTGGGAGGATCCAAGCAGGAAAGGAAGAGGGTCACGATTGGGTTGGGCAGCAGAATCCAAAAGATGGGGAGGCCTGTGGGAAGTTATTGATGAGAAATGAGAGAATATGCAAAGCAGATACAAATACGGCTCAAAAGCAGAAGTGGTCTGCGGTAGGGAGTAGAAGGCACCAGACTTCCTAAGGCAGTGTATGTTCTGATGCCCACCTCTGCCTTGCTGTCCCCAAGATCTCAGGGCCAGGCTCCTCTAAAAACACTGTTTACAATAGAATGTGTCAATCTCATCCTACACTTCACAGTTGCAGAAATAGAGTTTCTGGACACCCCTTGGCAGCCCAGTGATTAGGACTCTGTGGTTTCACTGCTGAGGGTGCAGGTTCAATTCCTGGTCCAGGAGCTAAGATTCCACAAGCTAGGCGGCACAGCCAAAAAAAAAGAAAGAAAAAAATGGAGGTTCTGGGAGGCAGGAGAATGACTTGCTCAAGGTCAGAATCAGAGACTTGGACAAACCCTGACTTCCATCCCCATACAACCATTTATGTATTTTGGAGTAATTTATACTAAAGTATACATGACTGATAGACACCACTTAGTCAGTGGGGCCTTTGTTCCAGGAGGAGCCAGGGGTGGGGTTAGGATGTTCTGGAGGTGGGAAACTTCTTCTCTGGGGTCTTGCCCACCATAGCAAGATATTCCTAGAAGCTACCTCCTCCCTGATCCATTCAATAGGTGGGGAAACTGAGGCTCAGGGATTTATTTTTGTATCGAGGCCCAAAGTCAGTTGCTTCAGGAGACCTGGGGAGGGAAATTTCCCATCTGAAGGGGCATTGATTCAGCTCCAGGCAGCAGGTTCATGTGCCTGGTGTGACCAGAACTTCCAGTTTTTCAAGAGGAAACCAAAAACTAAATTTGAATGTAAAAAATGGGCAACTATCTCAGCTTTAAGGAAGAAAAAAAAAAACAACCTACCATGACTCAAGGTCCTCGGACCACAGCGTTACAATGCTGAATCCATAGACTCTTCCCTGAATCCCTGCCCCCTACTTGCTTTCCTCACGGGAAGTTGGGCCAGGCTGGGAGAGCACTGCTTGATGCCTCACTCCCCTCATATGTAACTAGGAGTGGACTCAATCACCATGATCTACTTTGCCTCTAAAAGCTGATGTGCCTGCTTCCTGAGTCCTGCCTGACCTCCCATCTGTCTTTTCCCCACAGGTCTCCCCCTTCAGAGGGCAGCGACTTCTACATGACCTACGAGAGCCTCCAGCACGAATCCCAGCCTGTCTATTGCAACCTTCAGTCGCTGGGCCAGGTCCCATTGGATGACGAGGAATATGTGTTCCCCGGGCGCTGAGCAACATCTTCACCATCTCAAACTCCAGCCTGGCCCCTTCCAGGTGACGGGGCATTCTTCAGTCCTCCTGTCTGAGGACTGGGACCAGGGGAGGGTCATCCTTGAGGCCCCAGAGAGGCTCTGAAGCCCCATCCCTAGCCCACTCTGCCCCCCAGGCCACTTGGCTGCTAGAAGAGGAGAGACCCCAACATGGATGGGGACGGGAGAGTCAATGTGTGAACGCTGCTGGCATCCCCTGTCAGTGTGCAAGCATTGCCCAAATAAATTCTACAGGACAGACGAGGCTGCTGGTGAGTGGGCTCCTCAGAGCGGGGATTTCTTGAGCTTCCAAGACAAGAACTCTGAGACTCCTCAATTGCTCCCAAGCCCCAGTCCCTCCCCTCTGTCCCTCTCAGGCCCCTTTCTCGGATGCCTGGTATCCAGTCTTGGGCCCCAAGGCAGCCCACACCAGCCTCAGAAGGGTCTTTATAACTCAAGAATAGGACTATGCTCCTCCCCTGCTCACATACCCTCTATGGCTCCCCAGTGCCTCCAGATTCTCAGCCTGGTGGTTGAGACCTGCATGGACCCAGCCCTGTCCAACTCACCACCCTCTCCCATTCCTCTGCCCTTCTAATCTGGGCCTCCTCTCCCATCAAGCTCACTTCCCTCCTGAAGCTTTCATTTCCTCACACCACTTACCCATGCCATCTGATGGCCCAGCATGCCATCCCCTTCCACATCTTCTCACGCTTAAGCATCTGTATGCAGGCATAGAACTCTGGCCTGGGCATCAGGAGGCACGGGTCCAATTCCCAACCCCGTCGTGAACTCTCTGGGCTTCAGGTCCCCCACGTGTAAAACAGGGTGATTAGAATTGGTCTCTAAGGTTGTTTTAGCTCTAATATGTTGAGACACCTTACCTCATCCTTCCGGGTCTAGGTGCAGCACCAGTGCCACTCCAAGAAGCCATTCCTGGTTCTTCCTCAGGTAGAGTTCATCACTGCCAGAGCTCAGGGTATTTTGAGAGTTTAAGCTCATGTCTCAGGTGGGTTTCCTATCAGCTGCCCCCAGCCTGGCTTATGTCAAGCCCTCAAACTATGGGCGGCAGAGCTGGACACAGACATCCCCAGTCCTGGGAGGTCAAGCCTGGACCAGAGGGAAAGATGGAGCCAGCACCACCAGACAGAGATGAATGAAGGTGTTTTAAAGGCTGTATGTAAGAGGGGAATCTGGAGTGGGTTTTGAAGGATGCATAGGTGTCTGAGGAGCAGAAAGGACAAGGCACAGGGGGCAGGGAGACCAGCTTGGAGGCGTGAAAAGACACATGGGCAGTGGTGTCCAGCCCAGGCAACAGCTGGTGTTTGGGGAAAGACTCAGCATAGCATCTGCTGCCTTTGGGTCATCCTGACATTGAGTTTTATTGAATCACACCACCTGGGAGTGACCCCAAGTGGGAGAGGTGACCTATGAGGGTCTTCAGCTTCCTTGCGCCCCTGCATCCCGGTCCTACATGGCTCAAGCCCCCACTCCTGCCCCCAATCATATGTCCCTCTGTGCACTAACGCATTGCCTGGGTTGACTCCTTGGCACAGTCCTCGCTGCAAATCAGCCACTTCCTTATGACATCTCTTTTACTCATCTATCTTGTACTCATCTGTCTTCTGCACTTGACCGAGCTGGAATGGAGTGGTTTTGCCTACCTTGTCACTTTATCTCCTCAGGGGCACAGCCAAGGCCTGGCACAAAGGGGGTACTCACTGAATACAGTCAGGGGCACCTACAGTCATTCCAGTCTGCCTCTGGGTGGGGGGATTCACAGGGGACACAGCACTCACTGCTGGAGCTGGAACTGTCTCCTCCAGACCCCTATTCCAGGTACTCAGGGTGAACAGGCAAGTGAGGAGGGGGCTGGACTTGGCACATCTCAGCAATTATTCACGATCCCAAGTAGAAAAGGGTATAACCTGGGAGATGTGACGTGCATGAATGTCCTTCACACCTTTTCTCTCCTTACTCTCTCTTATTTTTTTGACACTGGCATGAGGCATGAGCCATGCTCAGCTCCCTGACAAGGCGTTGAACCCATGTCCCCTGCAGTGAAAGCATGGAATCTTAACCATTGGACCACCAGGAAAGTCCCTCCATGCTCTTTTTACATGAAAGGATAGAGGCACCATTAACATGAAGGGAGGTGCCACAGACAGCAGAAGGAAGGCGACTCTTCTAGGTGGTGGTAGATTCACACACACTGCACCTGATGGCAGATGGACGTGACTCTGGGCTGCCCATGTTTGGAAAGGTGACCCCCATGGGGGGAGAGACAGCGGGATGGTGGTCAAGACAGGGCCAGATACCTACAGAGACAGGAGTGCCAAGAGATGAGAAGACATGGAGGGAGACTAAGACCCAAAAGGGTCTCAGAAACAAAAGCAGAGGAACAGGGAGGTAGAGAAACACAGAAACAGTGAGAGGGATGTCCCCGGATACCCGTGGGTCCCATGGATGTCCTGACAGTGAAAAGAAAGTGTCAGCCGCTCAGTCGTGTCTGACGCTTTGCCACCCCACGAAATGTATAGCCCACCAGGCTCCTCTGTCCCTGTCTGCAGGCAAGAATACTGGAGTGTTGGGAGTGTTGACAGAAAACAACAAAATTTTATAAAGCAATTATCCTTCAATTAAAAGATAAATAAATTTTTAAAAACAAATAAAATCACACACACACTACACAGAATACTGGAGTGGGTAGCTATTCCCTTCTCCAGAGGATCTTCCTGACCCAGGGATGGAACCCCGCCCCATCCTGAATTGCAAAAAGATTCTTTACCATCTGAGCCACCAGGGAAGCCAATTGACATCATGAGCATCATCCCCTTTCCTGGCATCCCCAAAGAACGTCCTGCCACCCATTCCCTGGGCTGTTTCAATCATCCCATATCAGATCCCCTGGGGGAACTGAGGCCAACGGGGCTGGGGTGGGGGTGGGCTCTTCCCAAGGTCACCGGCTCCAGCCTGGACACCACAGAGGGCTGATCAGACAGCTTCACGTTTATTACCAGGGTTTTTCATAAACACACACCCTGTCAGACCACCCCTCCCCAGCCCTCTAGTCCCCAGGCAGAAGACCCCAATAAATTAATAATAAATAGAAATATAAATACATAGGTTTGGGTGGGAGGGGGCAGACAGCAACGGTTATGAATAGGGTATTTCAGGTTCCAGGAGCCCACCAGACAGGCAAGGACAACTGAAGTCTTTCAAATGCGTCCATGCCGTAAGTGAAGGACCAGGGCCGCTCACACGCAGTGACAGTCCTTGGCCACGAGGTCGTCAAAGGGCGTGAGTGACACGCGGCCGTCGCTGTCTTGGTGCATGAGCACCACCGGCTCGTAGCTGGCAGGCACGCAGCAGGGCGCCGGCGCAGCATCAGGGTTCAGGCCATGCAAGCGCGCCTGCATCTGCGCGTGCGTGTTAGCGGACCGGAAGTGGCTCGGGCACGCGCCGACGCACATGCGCACGTCCAGCTCCCGCGGCGCCAGCACCCAGTCGGCCCAGCCCAGGTCCTCAAGCGACGCGCGCAGGCTCTGCAAATGACAGCAGCGCCCCTCCCCGAGCGGGCAGCTGTCCCGAGTGTGAGCATGCGCGTGACGGCGCCCCCTGGTGGCGCTTGGCCGCCAGTGCAGCTCAAGCTGGGGCGGTGCAGAAGGCAACGCCTCCTGCAACTGGTCCGGGCTTGCTAACAGTTGCAGGCGTATTGCGGGACCCCGGGAGCCTCCGAGTCTCAGCTGTCGCCGTAGTGGCCGCGTCACGTCCCACGAGCTCTGCGCCTTCGGGGACAGCCGGAGAAGGGCCCGATGCAGGCGGGAGGCTGCAGGGAGCCCCTCAGTTAAGTTGACCCGGGGGATGCGCATGTGCAGGTGGCCACCTGGCCCAAGTCGCACTATGGAAAAGAGGAAAGAAAGCTAGTCACTCACGGGCCTACCCTGTGCTGAGCGCGGGGTGGTGGTGGTGTTTGTGCCATTTCTTCCAACACCCCAAGCTGGATCCTACCTCAGGGCCTTTGCACAGGCTACTTTGTCCACTGGCCACATTCTTCCCCTGAATCTCAGCGTGGCTGGTTACATACCACTCCAGCCTGACTGAAATTGGCATCGATCGATTTCATTTGGTTGTCTATCATTTGCCTCCCCCACTAGAATCACAGCAGGGACTTCTGTCTCCTTGGTCACCACTGTGCCTGGCACACAGTAGATGCTTAGTACCCGCGGGAATGAATGTATATCTGATCTTTAGAGAGTCTGCGATTTCAACACTGTCTTTGCCTCCTTTCTGCTGGAGTCCCATGGCAACAAGTGGCATTAAGGTGGGATAAAAGCTCTCGCTTCTGACTTGACGCCTCCCAGTTCCTAAAGCAGACCAGATCTTGCGCCTGCTCCGCCTGCTGGAGGCTCGGTGGAGAGTGTGAATATACTCCACTCCCTAAGACACCAGTCACATGCACCTTTAGCAGAGTCTTGGCGCGCGATTGCATCAGATTCGGAACCAGCCCAAGGAGGTTTAGCGCATCTCAGCGCACCGCTCAGTGCCCCCCCCCCCCCCCCCCCCCCGCTTCCCTTCCTTCCGCGGGACACCTGGATCTTTCCCCCGGGAAATCCCCCATACAAACAGCCCTTTCCTTATATCCAAGGGCAGAGACCACACCCCCTCGCCCGAACTTGTCTCTGGGTTCTCCTAGGTTCTTTGAGTCTTCAGTGGAGTCGCTGGATTCCCTGGCCTTAGTTTCCCCATCTGCGACCCCGGGAAGTGTTGTAACATCTCAGATTGGCTAAGCCTCGCCTGGTCCCGCTGCACATCCAGTCTTTTGCTCCCCCAAGGGGCATCTTTCTTGCCTGGTTCAGGGATGGGGAAACTGAGGCTCGGCGGTAGGTCTAAGAACCACCAGTTAGATGACTGGAGCTGCCCAGGGTGGGGTCTCGGAGATTTTACTCACATTTTGGAGTGACTGTCCGGACTTGAGGAGGGGGGATGAGGTCCGGGTTCGGGTCTTCCCAGGTCTGGTTCGCTCGAAGCCGTGTCAGCAGATCTTCGTAGCGTTTCCGCAACTCCCGGAATCTGGAGATGTCCGGGCTGGAGTGCACGTTTGAGGGTCCCTGCAAAGTCTGGAGGTGCTCCTGGGTCAGAGACAGGGCGCCTCCCAACCGGAGCCAGGAGAACATGAGCAGCATCAGCAACATCGGAGAGCGAAGTGGCCCTGCCGGTCGCTGACCAGGCATGGCTATGTTAGTTAAGTTCTAAACTAGGGCTGACCGGTCGCTGCTGGACCAGCCTTTATAGTCCCCGGACTTTGTCCGCCCCCGCTTGCCTGGTCCCGCCCGCCGTGGGTGCAAAGTAAACACTGCAGGACCAAAACTGGGCGGGGTCTTCCGCTGCTTTTCAGAAGGCGGTGCTTTTGATGGGGGGGGGGTGCTCCTAGGTATGCTGGGGAACCCCCCCTCAAGAGCCTTCTGAGCCTCAGTATTCTCTACTGTGAAATGAGGTCATCGTCCCACCTGGGCTGGTAGGAACAGTAATTTTCTCAAAAAAGATTTATTACTTACTATGTGCTAAACCCCATAGCAGGGATTTAAGAGGTGGCTTTCTTCTCTGATGAGATTCCCCCTCTCCTCTCTGCTCAGGTCAAAGGCTGAAGATAGTGAAAAACAAAGAAAAAAGAGGGAAAAAAGGGCCAGAGATAGCCAGAAGGTGTAAACTGGGGCAAATCATTCCTATCCATCCCACCTCTATTCCTTCACCTGGAAAATAAAGATTGAGACTTTCCCTTGAGAGAAGGTCAAACAAGGTGTAAAGGACAGGGCCAGGCACAGAACAGGTGCTTGATAAACTGGGTGTTTTTGCAGTTACTCATCCTCAGCTGGGGAACTCCTATCCATTCCTCAAAACCCTACTCAAAAATCCCCTCCTCCAGGAAGTCTTCTCTGACATTACTTTTCCAGGCTCAGCAGGATGCTCCCTTCCTCCAGCCCAGCCCTGACCCCACAGTACTGGGAGTGCGTGTACTTGGCCCTGTCTGCTCCAGACTGGCAGCTTCTTGAAGGCTTGGACAGGGACAATGGATTTGGGCCCTGATCCTTTGGCTGGGCCTGAAGAGGAGATGGCAGGGAATTAGGGTGGTGAGGCTTAGGGCAGGGAGGGCGGGTGTCGAGTCTAGCCACTAGATAATGGAAGGGCAGCAGGTACTCTAGGAATAGCCTTCCTCCTGGGCCACCCAGACCTTGTTCTACTGCTTGGGACTCCTGGCCCCAGGCATCCTTCCCTGTGCCCGCTCCCAGCTTCCTGGCCTCAGAGAGGGTGGGCAGCTGTTCAAAGCAGACCGTGGGGGTATGTAAAGTGTGAAAAGGATATGTGCAGGGAAGGGGCTCAAGGACTTATTAGGGGTCGCCCAGAAAGGATCCCTGTGAAAGAATGGAGCCCAAGTTTCTCCCACACCAGCACACACCCACTTGCTGGGTGAGCCCAGCTATGCCTCCGGTACCCCCTGAGGCTCAGTCCCAGCCTCTATGCAGGGGTTCAGAGGATCCCCTGGCAATGCGCTGGGCTTAATAAACACACAAGTAAATGCGCTACCATCCTGACTGTGGCTGTTTGGGAGGCTGGGTCTTCTGCACCCACATCTTGGCACATAGAGTAAGTGCGTGCTCAGGAAAGGGTGCAGGACTGAAGAGACAGGGATGCCCCACAGCCTCCCCACCACACCCTCCTCCCGACCCCACCCCCCACAGAGGCCAAGCCCTGGAAGCAAGGCAGAACGCTGAGTAATGCCTAACACGCAGGGGCTATTCAGCCAGGATCATCATGCCCAGGCTTGACTAGGGATGGCAGGGGCAGTGGGGGCGCTGTCTGGGATGGCATCACTGCAAGGTAAATAATGGTGAGAAGCCAACATTTACTGGACTCCAGCCTGTGGGCACAGTTCACACGCAGTCCCGTTAATGGATAAAGGAACAAAGCCTCGGGGGACTGGTGTGTGTCTAGGGCTGAAAGGTTGGACTCCACAATGGGCTTGGACTCATCCAGCCTTTGGCTGAGCCATCTGTTACCTGGCATTTCTAGGCTTGTGAGGGGATTCTGAGACTCCTCCACTTGTGACTGGTTTTCCTCCTAGTTTAAAAGCCTTGTGAAGAGTTTGCCCTGATCCTTGATCCAACAATCTGGACGGCTCTTGGCTTCAGAGAGGTGAGTCTGGGTTCACGTTCCCTTCCCTCTTCTCCCTGACTGTGACACGTGCAACAATGGATTTCAACCTCAGTTTCCCCATCGGTAAAAGGTGTAAGAGCACCCCCCCCACACACACACAGGGTCGTGTGTGAGTGGGAATTTTGCACACACTGGGTATCACTGTGCATGTGTGCATGCTTAGTCGCTCAGTCGTGGCCAACTCTTTGCCCCGCCATGGACTCTAGCCCGCCAGGCTCCTCTGTCCATGGAATTTTCCAGTCAGGAATACTGGAGTGGGTTGCCATTTCCTCCTCCAGGGGCTCTTCCCTACCTAGGGATTGAACCCACGTCCCCTGCATTGCAGGCAGATTCTTTACTGCTGAGCCTTCAGCGAACGCAGGGATCAGCGCGGCCAGGATTCAAATCTCAGCACCTACCACCCACCCCCCACCCCCGCCTTGCTGTGTGACCATAGGCAAGTTACTCAGCCTCTCTGTGCATCAGAACCAAGGCAGTGTGTTGGTTGTAGGACAGAGGACAATCGTTATAGAAATCCTCGTATAGTTTTTACCCAGGGCACCCATAGCAGCTGCTGCAGCCCTACTCTCAGGTCACACACCAAGATAGAAACCCTGGTGATGTGGGGGCCCTCCTTCCCACTAATGACCCCAGGCTGAGGATGACCTTGGTGGACGCAAGCTTCTCAAAAAGACATGCCAGAAAGCTGATATATCAATGCTTTACTTGCTTTCTGGGGCATCAAGTTTAGTGTCTCCCGGGGTCCAGCCCCCAGCAAAGTCTGGCAGACCCTTGCCCACCCCGGGGTCCCAGACACGGAGCTTTCAGACAAGGCACTCAAGGGGTCTCCCTGGGGTTGGGGAGAAGCCACCCCAAGCCTGCAGGGGCTGGTCTCTCCTTTGGGAACAGGACACAGGGTCACCTCCAGGAGGCAGGGCTCTTCCTGGAGAGAGATTCAGGACAAGATAGAAACCTGAAATGTGGAGGGAGCCCTGGAAACATGCCAGGTACCCCCAAGGCCCAGATGGATCTCCTGTGGCCTCCAGCCAGGCCTTGCGGGCAGAGAGGCCAATTCCCACCAGCTTTCTCTGGGGCTTCCTCAAATGGTGCAGGACCCAAAAGCCCCTGGCCCAGGTCCCACCCCTGTGAACAGCTTGGGTGAGCCCCACCCAGGGGAGCGGGGAGCCAGGGTCTGGGGGTGTTTCTCTCTTTCCTGTCTGTCCCCCACGTGTACTGCGGGGGCAGACACTTCTGTGGGTCTCTGGGCAACTGAAGGGGAGGCTTGGGTGAGGAGAGGGAGGAGGGGAAACGGATAACAAGTCGGGGGAGCAGCTCAGGCTGGACTGGAGCCCCTGGAGGTCTGGGAGCTCCTGCAACTCAGTTACAACCACTGAGCCTCAGCTTCCTCATCAGTAAAAGATGTCAGTTCATGTCACCCCTGACCGGGCTGTGGGTGCTCTCACAGGGACTAAGTCATGGGACAGGGTCTGTTGGGACGTTTACTTGGCACCTGTTAGAATTAAATGTCAGGAATTCTCTAGCGGTCCAGTGGTTAGGACTCTGCGCCGTCCAATGCCCGGGGCACAGGTTTGATCCCTGGTTGGGGAACTAAGATCCCACAAGCCTTGAGCCAAAAAAAGAAAAGAATTAAGCTTCAAGGCGTGGACCCTGGCCGGTATCTCCTCACTTTAAATGCTGCCATTCTGACCTGCGGGCCTAGCATGGACTCAGACTCTTGGTTGGCATCATGGCTGTGGTCAGACATGGGGTGGACAGGAATCCCAGTGGGTGACAGGTAGCCTGTCTGGAAGATCCAGCGCATCAGGGGCCTGGATGCAGCCTCTGGGTGGGCGATGAGCGACCCCCACCTGGCGCTGAAGGGACCCTCAGATTCCTGTTGCGGGAAGGCGGAGCCCTTCCGGGGCCCGAAACTGGGCCCTTGTCTAGCACTCGGAAATGAATTGTCCGAGGAGACACATGTGCTGACAAAGCAAGAGATTTTATTGGGAAGGGGCGCCCGGGCGGAGATCAGGAGGGTCAGGGAGCCCAGGAGAGCTGCTCTGCCATGTGGCCTGCAGTCTCGGGATTTATGGTGATGGGATTAGTTTCCGGGTTGTCTTTAGCCAATCATTCTGACTCAGAGTCCTTCCTGGTGGCGCACGCATCACTCAGCCAAGATGGATGCCAGCGAGAAGGACTCTGGGAGGTGGTCGGGCACATGGTGTCTCCTTCTGACCTTTCCTGAACTCTTCCTGTTGGCGGTGGCTTATTAGTTCCGTGCTCCTTATCAGGCCCTCCTGTCGAAAAACAGCTCCTACAAATGGTTCCTAGGGTGCCTGGCCAGGGCGGGCAGTTTCAGTCCGTGTGTTAGAGCACTCCTGGGAGAGTTGCTGACACTGCAGACAGAGGAAGCAGGGTCCAGGGAAAGTGGCATTTCTCACGGGCAAGGGGGATCCTGGGCCGGAAGTTCCCTGGGCAGAGAGACGCAAGCACACAGCAGACTCACGGGTCTATTGTGTGTCCATTTCCTCCAGCATCCCAAACTGGATCCTACCTCAGGGCCTTTGCACAAGCTACTTCCTCTACCAGCTACACTCTTCCCCTGAACCTAAGCATGGCTGCTTACATGTCCCTCCAACCTTCCTAAAATAGACACAACCCTATTTTACCTGATTGTCCATCATTTGCCTCCCCCACCAGAGTCACAGAAGGGATTTCTGTCTGCTTGATTGCCACTGTGCCTGGCACACAGTAGGTGCTTAGTTAATACTTGCAGGAATATTGAATGTGTGTCTGATCTTCAGACAGAGAGATTCCAACACTGGCTGTGCCTCCTCCTGGAAGCCAGAATAATTTTTACTGAAGGTCTACTAAGTGCCTGGGGTTGAAGATGCAGCAACCAGCTACTGCGCTTTCAGCTGTCTGGGTCTCAGATTCCATAGCTGAGAAATGCAGGGTACCAGACCACACACCTTGGCTTCCCAGGCGGCGCTAGTGGTAAAGAACGTGACTGCCAATCCAGGAGGCATAAGAGACGTGGGTTCAATCCCTGGGGTGGGAAGATCCCTTGGAGGAGGGCATGGCAACTCACTCCAGTATTCTTGCCTGGAGAATCCCATGGATGGGGGAGCCCAGCAGGCTACAGTCCATGGGGTCACAAAGAGTCGGACACGACTGAAGCGACTTAGCACGCACGCAGACCACACAGGTCACCTAGTTTCCAGAATCCAGGGACCACTCTCCTCTCCCAGAGTGGTCAGGATCTTGGAGATAAGTGTGGGGTGGGGCTGTGGGTCTAGGGCCCTCAGAGTCATCACTAGACTCAGAGAGGATGGGGTTTGCTTGGAGTCACATAGCACAGGTGAGGTTAGAGAAGGGTGAAAGCACTGAGGTGTGACATCCCCTTCCCTCACCAGGCCGCTCACACACACGCACACACACACACACACACACACACAGGAAGTCCTTCCAGATCCTGTGTAGCCCATATCGCCTTCCACCCCCCTGGAGGCTCCTTGGAATGCAAGGAATTTAGGGGAAATTGTGAGGGCTCCTGCTGCTGGCAGCTTCAGTGGTCTTTGACACGGGATTGCTTCAAATCTAGAGCTAGTCTGGGCAAGCTCTGCCCACCCCCATCCAACAAGCTCACCCAGATCCCTGCTCCTGAATTCCCTCCTCCCCACAGCCGAGGGCTAGGAACTGCGCCCTCCTGGAGAGTCTGCCTTCGTGTTCTTTGGGTGCTGTGCCCCTTCAGGAGAGTCACAGGGCTTTCTGGGCTTCAGTATCCCCATCTGTGATCCGAGGAGGGGTTACCACAATCCTAGAGTGGCCGAGTCCCACCCTGTCTGGCCACAAAGGCAACTGCTAATTCCCCCGTCAGTCCCAAAGATGAGTGGGGTGTTCCCGC